TAGTTTTCGGTGTACAGATCTTTCACCTCTTTGGTTAAGTTTATTCCTAGGTATTTTATTCTTTTTGTTGCAATTGTAAATGGGATGGTATTCTGAATTTCTCTTTTTTTCTACTGACTTAAGTTTCTGGCTTGAAATTTACCTTGTACTATCATTAAGTTCTTTAATTATGATAATAATAAATAATAATAATAGAAGCTACCTTTCATTGAGCATGCCAAACAATGTTCCAAGTGCTTTGTAGGTATTAATTCATTTAAACCTTGAAGCAGCCTTGTGAGGTGTAACTACTGTTCTTACCCCTATTTCACAGGTGAAGAAACTGAAGCATAGAAAGGTTAATACATGCCCAGGGACCCAGCTAGCAAGTGGCAGGGCAGGAATCACACTTAAGCAGTTTCGCTCATTTCTGAATGGGAGGTAAACCATAGGATGAAAGATCTTGTTTCGTTTTACCTGCATTATGGAAATTTCACATCACCTTAACAGGCTGCATCCTTACTCCTGCGGTGGAGCCACTGTGCAAAATATTCCAAAATGCTTATCTAAAGTAAAGAGTTTGTGGGGTGTTTTTAAGAATATCAGTGCTAGGAAATCTTTATCAAATGAAGATGGGTTTGATTTTAAAAATGGAAGTCATTCAGAGACGAACTGGTGAATGAAGCAGAATCATTCCAGTTTCAGTAAAAGTAATGAAAAGTTTTCTTGAGAATATGAAAGCAGTTGTAAAAGAAAGGTCCAAACCTCTTTGGAGCAACTTAAGAAGAAAGCCTTTATTTCTGGATGATTGTTATAAAGGCAGCTGCACTGAGTAAAATTGTTAATATAAGAAGTTATATTACTTAATAGAGGATAAAAAGAAGTTCTCGTTACTTAATAGAGGATACTTGTGCATGAAGAAAGAGACTTGCACAGCCTTACATTTGTCTCCACTGAATATCATACTTACTTCTGGGCCGGCCCCGTGGCTTAGCGGTTAAGTGCTCGCGCTCCGCTGCTGACGGCCCGGGGTTCAGATCCTGGGTGCGCATTGACGCACCGCTTCTCCGGCCATGCTGAGGCCACGTCCCACATACAGCAACTAGAAGGACGTGCAACTACGACATACAACTACCTACTGGGGCTTTGGGGCGGCGGGGAGGGAGAGGAGGAGGAGGATTGGCAATATATGTTAGCTCAGAGCCGGTCTTCCTCAGCAAAAAGAGGAGGATTAGCATGGATGTTAGCTCAGGGCTGATCTTCCTCACACACACAAAAAAAAAAATTAAAAAAAAAATATCATACTTTACTTCTGTTAAATGTGTATAGTTATATATGTGTGATATGTATAAAGGCCAGCCTCCTCTAGGAGCAATGACAGACTTAATTCGGAGCCTTCAAATAGTAGTATTTAATTAGTATACTGCATACGTTGAGTTTTAAAGAGTACATTTCAAAACCAGATCATCCCCTTAATATAGTGAATGTATGAGTTTAAAGTATTTCTGATTAAATATTTTTCTATTAAATTTGAAAAATAAATTTAATTAACTTTGTGAAATAACTCTTTAAATTTCAATTTTAAGCAACTTAAATGTCCAATAACATTGTAATTATCAAGAATACCAAAGGATGTTAACAATAGAGAACACCAAGTATATATTTTTTTTATGAGGAAGATCAGCCCTGAGCTAACATCCGATGCCAATCCTCCTCTTTTTTGCTGAGGAAGATTGGTCCTGGGCTAACATCCGTGCCCATCTTCCTCTACTTTGTATGGGACGCCACCACAGCATGGCCTGACTAGCGGTGTATCAGTGCAAGCCCGGGATCCAGGCCTGGGAACCCTCAGGCTGCCAAAGCGGAGTGCACGCACTTAACCGCTGCACCACCGGGCCGGCCCAGAGAACACCATGTATTAAAAGTAACATTAGTTAGCATGTTTTGAATCTTACATGTAGGCTGGCTGCTTTGCCTTTGTTACTTAATTCTCTCAACTCCCCACCCGGACCCCATGAGTACATGATTTTAACCTATCTAACAGATCCATAGACCATGTTGAAACATGACGTGTTTATATGAAGTGATGTTAAATTTTCAAAAATAAGAAATATACGTTTTATACATATATATTTACATATGCTGTTGGCAATTTACCTATGCTTTTCTACAGAAGTAGAAAGAGAATTTGCATAGTATAAGTGAATCAGTATTCCTTAAGTTCTTTTTAAAAAATCTTCAAAATGGCTTATGTTCATCTTTTCTAATTTACATTTTCTAAAGTCCTGACTCAGACTTTAGTCCTCACTTACGCAAAACCCCCTCAATCGGTTCACACACAAGCCAGTTGCTGCTTGTGATTTAACATAGAGCGCTCCTTGCGATTGTGTGATATATGCTGTAAGTCATTCTCCATTGCTAGCAATTACATAGACTCTCAATCCTAATATTCTAATTTCAATTAAATGACTAGATTTTTTCTTAATTTTACAGTCTTTTGATTCTCTTAGTGACATATATCACATACACACACAGTTTATTCACTTCCCTGCACACAAATTTGAGCCTATCAGCCAGGTTAGTAAATAAATGTGAACCTAAAGTAAGTGCTAAAATTGTTTTTAACTAAAAATAGCATACATAGTGCTAAAATGAAAACCTGACACCATTCCATTACTGTCCATTTAGGATGACACTGGTCATTACTTAGGACAGGCATTAGGCTTGTTTCTTTTTTTTTTTTTTTCTAGTGAGGAAGATTGGTCCTGAGCTAACATCCATGCCCATCCTCCTCTGTTTTCTATATGGGATGCTGCCACAGCAAGGCTTGATGAGCCGTGCATAGGTGCGTGCCCGGGATCTGAACCCGCAGACCCCGGACCACTGAAGCAGAACATAGGAACTTAACCACTATGCCACCAGGCTGGCCCCTAGGCTTGTTTCTTTTATCACTTGTCCTTAGACGTGAAGGCTCTATTATGTCACCACCTCTCTCAAATCAGTTCCCTATTTCCCATTTTAGAGGTAAACTTGAGAGCTTACAGAATTTCTGTAACTTAAATTTTGAAAAAAATAGATGACCTGCCTAGCCTCTTCTGCTTATCAAATGCTTTTATTTAATCCTCTCTCATTTATGTTGCCACCTTAACCATCTTTCCAGCTACGTATCTTAAAAGATGTGATGGAGAAGTTATCAACTGGTGTTTTTAGGTATGCTAAGTAATCAAATCATTGTTCTTGTTTATTTTTCTGTTCTCAAGGAGATAGGCATTTCCATTTTTGTTTCAGCTTTCATAATACATGTATTTCCTCCATATTTTATTGTTTTGTTTAGATAAATATCTGCTCTTTAATATATCTCAAAGTATGTTTTGTGATACACCAGTAAGTGCTCCCCAAGATAGAAGTGGCTCATGAGTTTGCCTTATGCTGTTCCATGTCGGTACCTCACCCCTCCTAAAACAACTTGAAATAACCCATAGCTTAAGAAGAGGGAAAAGTACAACTTTTTTAAAGTTGGATTTCTTTATCAAAAAAGAGGGAGTGGATAAACTACATATTTTTTCCCCGTCAACACTTAACCACTTTTAACAGTGGAAATATTAATGGACAAGTCTGTTTAAATTAAAGTAATAGAATTGAACTACAGCAATTGTCAACTACTGTCCTATGTGCTCCACTCATCTTTACCTTGACTTGACATTTCTAATGATTTCATTCTTCCTCAGGCCTCAGTTGGATGAACCCATTCCACTATATGAGGCGAAAGTTTCCATGGAAGTTGTTCAGAAAAATCAAGGAAGAAAAAAGCAAGTTGTTCAATTTTAATTTTATTTCGCAAACCTCACTTGGATGAACCCATTCCAGTATGTGAGGCCAGAGTTTCCTTGGAAATTGTACAGAAAAGTCAAGGAAGATAAAAGCAAGTTGTTCCATTTTTAAACATGTTTTTCTGCTGAGACAAGATGCTCAGAGTTATTTGAAGTATTTAAAAAGTTATTGTACGAACGGTCAAGACAGTTGTCATTAATATGTGAAGGGAATATTCTAAGGGCCTTTTTAGTTATTGTTTCTATGTATTTGTCTCTGTTATAACATTGTTTCCATGAAGAAACTGCTTTCAGCAGAAGCTACGCTACTGTTGATAAAGCTGAGTCGTTTGCTGTGTCAAAATAACGTTATTACTTTTGTATCAACTCCATTCTCAACACATTCCTTCCTTAACAAGTCTTTGCTGTCATAATTTAATCATTTGAGTATATTTTCAAGCCTCAATGGATCGAACCCATAGACACTTAAATTTTTCCAAGTATTCATTCACTCCAGGGTTCCCCGAGGATCCAACAGGAGCATCACAGAAACTCGCCCGTGGGGCCGCACCGTGTGCGTGGAGGGCTGCAGTGGCGATGCCGGGAGGGGGGACGGGGGCTGCCCTTGCATAGCCAGCGTGCTGATTTCCTGCCAGGGTTCTCGATTTGCGGGAAGGGGGAGGAGAGCCAGGCCCCTCTCGCCAGCTCTGGACGTCGCCACTGTCGTCTGTCGGCTTATCGAAGCAGCAGCTCAAGTGTGACATTTCCTTTCCATCCAGGCAGCGTGCCCGGGCTCATCGCACCCCTAATGCGGATTTAAATCGCGGTCAGCTATTTCGGTGTTCAACAGGGGACTGCAGACCGGTGCCCTGGACCCCCTACTTCCCAGGCGCTTGGTACCCGGCGACCCAACTCCGGCGGAGAACCCGGCAGGAGCGCCAGGGCGCTGTCTCGCGTACAGGGGGCGGGGCGGCGGAGGCGGCCTCGGAGGGACGCAGCCGGGGCGGGGCCTCGAGAGCGGACTACGGCGCACGCGCGGCGCGGCGCCTGGGGGCGGGGCCGGTGCGCGCGGGAAGCGCTTGCGGGACGGCCTGGCGGCGCGTCCTCCTGCGCCGCGCGTCATGGCCCTGTCGGTGCCCGGTTACTCGCCCAGCTTCAAAAAGCCGCCCGAGACGTTGCGGCTGCGGCGGAAGAGGGCTCGGAGCCTGAGGGCCCCTCCCCTGCCCGGGGAGCGGCC